TTGAATATTCAGATGGGCCCGTGGCTTCAAGATATGAACCTGGAAAGGTGAAAGATCACTTACACGGACGTATTTTGCTATCCAGACACGTACAATATCATCGTGGGTGATTTCCTTTTATTAATTGACAACATAACAGTCTGTCATCTGAGTACGCTGAGGCGGGGACAGTGACACGCGGTAAAAATTAGCCCCTTGAAAGCTTCTCTCGAGTTCTGACGTTGATGTTCCTGTACTAGATCTGTAGTAGTCTTTGCACCAGATACATTCGAAGTTTTCTTTTTCTTATAAAAACTAATAAAGGGGAACTCATTCCTTTTGGGACTTACCGATGAAATGAAGTTATATTCAGAGAAGATTAGAATGACAGTGCAGTTATTTTAAATCATATTTTATAGACAGCAATAAAAGTAGTGTGGCATATGGTAGTTCTCGGAATATTAACGATTAAATACGTAGGAAAATAATTTTCTATCCTTTACTCACGCCGTATAATGTACGTACATTGACATTTAAGTCTTTCATGCAATTATGAAAGCGGTCATGTACGACACTAATATATTAGCCTAATAATTCCCAGGATACACTGAGAAGACCTGCGAAATAACCAGTTCTGATATTAGGCCACTAGGTCAAGAGTCGAACCTGAGACAATCCGTAAACTAATTTGTTCTAAAAAACCTCAAAACTACGTTTGTTCATATTTCCAAGATGATACATTCATTGCCTTCATGTATTGCATTTTATCCGATCACATGCTTTACAATACGCGTGTCTATTACGTACATGTACAGTGCAATGATCTCTTCGTGGTCCTATGGGGTCTATTTGATATAAAGTCCTCGGCTTTTTTCTTTTTTATCGTATGGACTGAGCAACGCCCAGCGTTTATAGCGAGTAATTCAAGCATGGTCTGACACAAAGCAGACCGCTTATATATGAAGTGCTCTGCTTTTAAACACACAAAGGAAAAACATAACCTTGGTCCTTAAAAGTGACCAAAGATGGCCACGCCTCGGGACCGGTCTTTTGTGACCACCGGTCAAACGGTCAGTAAGAAGTTTAAACACTCCCCATGACCCTTTAGGATTGGTGGGCTGTACGTCTGTCCATTCCTGTATTATTCCTTTTCAGGGTAACTTCATTCAAGTGGTCAAACCCTTTGGACTACCCTTTCATTTTCTAGCCAGTGACCATTCATATCCAATGGTATGCTTCCATTGTATGACAATAGTGGGGTTATTATGGAGGCTATTGGCCTACTATTTAAAAATCCTCAGAGTGAGGTTAGAAAAAGTTTATTCCGTACTGACGTCAGAAAAAAGAGGGCCTGGACAGCCTGTACTAAAGTCAGTTTTATAATTTTAGGATGAAAAACCATGTCTGAGTGAGATCTGAAATTTAAGATTACGATCGTTTCGTAGGTGCTTACTGACTCCATCATCAGGGCCTGATTATGGAGGAGAGAATTTTTGATAGTTTAAACGTCACACGAGGAATAATTTTAGCTACAGACTGAATTCAAAAGACAAAAATCCTACGTAGGAAACAATGAAGTGACATCCCTGATGAACAGCGGTGAGAATGGAAGAGATATCGAATGTCGTTTCTGGACAAGAGCGATACGCCATGTCATAACCTTGCCAATGCAACATTGAAACAGAAGCAACATGGATAAGGAGAATTTATCAGCTTCGAGGAAGAGAGATGCTGGTTCTGCACTCTGTCAGCGAGATTAATGACTATTGTGCTATTCATCACTTCTATTCAGTGCTATTGTATTAACTTAACTACGCCTCCTTCTCAATACCATAAAGAAAATTCTATCTGCCAATTCTTATATAATCTTTCAAGCATAACCACCTTGGGGTTAAGTCTACTAGAAGGCCCTTATTTTAGTGTTATTGCGATTAGTAGAAGTAATGAATCTTATTTAGAGGAAAAGAAAATTCTATACTAAATTCCAAACGTCTTTGTATCCTTGTTGAGGACTCAAATTGCTGACAAGAACATTTCGACCAATAGCAGTAATTAGCAGAAGAGTTTGAAAATTAATATCAATATAATCGGGGGAAGGGGGGTTATAGTTGGTAGTCTGCAGCTTATCAAATGTTATATTACACGTACTTATGATGTTTTTGTTACGTTTCATATCATGTTCATGTACTTAGTTCCGTATACAGTCTCACCTGCACAGTTTTAGCAGAGTTACTGCGGAGAAATTCGACAAATACTCACATTTCTTATCAATATTTATTGTACGAAATCCGAACATGGGTCTGATCATTCGATACGTGTCGTTAAATATCACAAAAATTATTATTATACCTGAACTCAACATCTTCACCGAGACTCGAACCCAGAATAGTTTTTTGAATTGTGACCTCAGTTCCTGTAATCTCCTCGCCAAAATAATAATTTTTGTTCTTTGCGCCGTTCTTGTATCAAGCATAGTTTTCGAACATCTAAAATCATTTTCGCGGGACTCAAACCCAGAACAGTTTTTCGGGGTTACGGTCTTTGAATTTGTAATCTACTCGTGGAAATAAGCAACTTTGGTCCTTGCGCAGTTCTTTCATTGTGCTTAGTTTCCGAGCTACAAAAAAATCATCGTAATCGGGAAACGAACTCAGAACAGCTTTTCTTGATTCTGGCCTTTGTTTCTGTTATCTCCTTTTCGAGACAAATGACTTTCGTTTCGGCGCTGTTCCTCCATCATGTTTAATTTCCGCGTTACAGGAACTGCTCTCACCGGGAATCGAATTCAGAACACTTTACCAGAGTTTTGACCCCCGTACGTTCTCTTTTTAGTCTGAAGGAATAAACATGCCAAGTCATGCGCAGCAGCAGATGTTAATGTCTCTCTCGATGGTGTTTTGTTTCGTAACTGTGGTGGCAATAAATAAGGTGTATTCTTGCGTAGCTTAATGTGACGTACATTATTATTATCTTCTACAGTGACGTATGAATAAACTCGACAATGCATAAACCCGTTTTAATTAAATCTAATATTGAAGGACTTTAATAAAGAGTGCCAAAACATCTTATTTTTTATTTAGATTTGACAAATTTAATTGAAAATTCTGGAAAAAATAAATTTCTTGACCACTACAAATTGATAAATTAAATTGGAAATTGACATATATTTTAACCGAATGAAATTAAAAATGCTTTGCCACGAGAGTAGTCACATCACTCATGAAAATATATATAGTACTGTATAATTAGTGTTTCCATTCCATCACGCCATATGGAAAATTCAACTAACATAAAAAGTATTTACAGCCCAAAACAAGACTATTAGACGGAACGAAGGAATATCTTGTTAGGAAATTACTATACATCTCCTTGTCAGTGAATTATAAATTTAATTTTGACTATCATTAACAATGATAGGGAAATATTTAAAACAATTTATGACGTATAAAATTTAAATACAAGACAAAAATATGATCTTCACAAGACAAATCCCGAGCTCACTAGTTAGAAATATGTGTACTATGCAGGAGTTTAGTTATTAAGTATTTTTCCAACTAACAATAGAAATTTAAATCATGAAATAGAATTATTTAAGCCAGCAATGAAAGATTGTCTCTTCTCTATATAAATTCAAATTGTTTACTGCTGTTTAAGGAAATAATCGATATTTATTCTAAGAATTACACGAAACCCATAGCTACAAAATGCAACGTAACTGCAAGTGGTACATATAAATACCATTAGGCTTTAAAGGGTTAAACGTAGTATTGTGTCCTTATTATGATATATGTCACATCCTTGTTCTCAGAAAGGAGCTATAAAATGTAAATAAATTATATTCTATTCTGTTTTATTCCATTCCACTACATTACGTTACGTTTATTATTGCTATGTTACGTTACTTTCCATATGACGTCAGTTGCAATTTAGTTTGATTTTGACCCTCCCTTGGATACACTTTATTTACTCCCATCAAGCTTTGTAACTACCAGAAAAAGCGAGGCAATTTGTGCGCCAAATATGTGAGCAAATTATTGTGAATGAAACCTATTCAGCATAACTGCTTTGTCACAAAGAATTAATGTAGTTTAAACAAAGTGTAAACGTTAATAGTGGTGTAAATACTGTGTGTGTGTTTTGCATTCAGTGATATTCCTAACCTACAAACACCCACTACAGATCCATCAAAGGTTAGTAACTACAATCAATTTTTTAGGTTATGTTGTTAAAGATGAAAATGTTTTACATTTTTCTGGACAATAATTGTTTACAATGAATCTGAGAAATGGAGTTGTAGGATCTCTTCCTGGGAAGAAGGGTTTCCACAAATAAGTTTGTGTTATTCATGATGCATTTACTTGGAATTAAGTAGAACCACTGACTCAGAATAGAATAGAATTTATTTACATTCCATAGATCCTTCATAGGCTCAAGCCAAGAGTATAGAAAGTCTACAAATACAACACTTATTTCTATTACTACTATAAATTATATAGTTTTGACAGTAATTTACATTCAAGTAGAGTATTACCACAAAATAATTACACAACAAAGTGTACCCACTATTGCTTCCATGTTTTTATAATAGCTGAGAATTTTGGTTGAGGTAAATTCTTCTGTAGAGTAAGAGTGGGATAGGGGACACTCTTTTAGTGATTCAGACTTCTTACAGTGGGGAGAAGGTTATTGAATAACTTCATTCCAGTGTAATAAAATCATTTTTAATATTTTCAGAGTTTAGTTTTTAGCACATGAAGATTGTATCTGTATCTTGTACATTTATTATGGATTCCTGAGTTTGTTTGAAAGTTTTTCTGTGTTGTGTGCTAAATATGACAACAATGAGACCAAGAATTTGCTGGCTAGTAGAAGAATATTAAATTTATTAAATATCCGTCTACATGAGGATTTCCTTCAAGTGCCTACCATTATTATGATTTTCTTTTGAATGTAAAATCTTTTATTTTTTTTGCTGTCTGTTGAGTTTACCCAGAAAATAATTCCATGTGACTTGTTCAGGTGGAAGTCAGCGAAGCAGACTAATTTCAAGTTTCTGTTTTTATGAGTGATGTGAGCATTATTGATTTTTTTTTCAAGTTTGAATAATTTGTTACCACTTTCAAGGCTGATGAATCTGATTTATGCATAATCTAGTCATTTCATACAGAAATTGGCAGTGCTAATTCTGATTGGTTTAGAAGTTTATAAGAATTTTTCAGTATGATAAGATTTAATTTCAATCCATCCAGTGCACTTATTTCTCTACTTAAATGTAGAATATTGTTACCAGAAAATGTAAAAGTTTTGTCTGAATGTAAAATAATGGACAGTTGATTAGTTGTTGAAGTTTCCTGGTTGGAGGTCAGTAATATTGTAAATTTTCAGTTAACAATTCCATATTAAATTATCATATAAATCCCACAATTCTGTGGGTTGTGTTTTAAGTCTTTTATCACGTGGTTCATTTCTGGCTTATAATTCAGTATTCTGTTACGCAATACTTGCATTCAGATCAGTTTCAATATTATTTTTTGAGAAGTTGTCCACTGTGAACACTTGGATCATTCTTAGACACCAAACAAGGAAAACCGAAGTTATTAAATATTTATCTGAGCGCTGGCTAAATTCCCTGTCAGACATTGACACAACGAAGAATTATTAATATCAAGTTCCGATGCATTTGTAAGATTACGATCTATGTGGAAATTTTTTTTTCCGTTGTTTTGATAAATGAAACATAATTTTCAACAAAGGTAAATAGAGAGAGAACAGAAAGATATCCGGGCCATAGAGAGAGAGGGAGAAAGAGGAAATTGGGGGGGGGGAGAAAGAGCATCTTATAGTTAGAAGGTCCCCAGGCAATGCCCGCTCGTCCTTCTGTTAAGGATAAAGTAAGAGTGAAGACGTTAGTGCTATAATTGGCAGAGAAGACGGAATTTTGAAATTTTGTATCAGAGAAAGCTGAGGCTATTAATTTGGAGGTTTAGTACATAATTTAGAAGTTGTCCGGGCCATAGCTCTCGTCTGAATATATTTATTAATTCAGTCCGTACCGCGAAGAAAACACCGTACTTCACCGTTACTCTGATCAACTGGTTAACGCTGTTTAAGGAAATAATCGCTGTTTATTATGAGAATCATACGAAAGACAGCTAATGAGTATTAAAGTAGGTACTACAGATTTCCCACTGGTATGTAAACGATAGAATGGAAATTAAGAAATTCATAAAAATCATTTTTTTTATAGATTTTATTATAGCTCTGAGTCTCGTTTGTCTGTAGGTCATTTGTTCCTGGAATCATTCCCGAAGTGACCGAGTTCCGTCCTTGTCTCCACGTTCCTTGTCGTGGCAGGCAGTTTGCGAGGGGGGAGGTGTCCACCAGTCGGTCTGTGTGTCACGTCAGACGGGTTGTGCACGAGGGTGTTCGATTGACGACGCCCGTACCTGGTAGTGCTTAGCTGTGTGACCCTGGAGTCCGTCCAGTGGTCCGCAAATGTCCACCACAACTCACTCTTCTCCTCCAGCTCACATTATCAGGCGAAACCATCGTAAAAAAAAAATACCTGCAATAAGGAGGGCGTACAACCGAGACGTGGTACCATACAGTGGCCGACACCATTCGAACTCCCCGCATCTCATGACCTTTCCTTACCCCTCTCCCTTACTTCGTAGCGAGGACGGTTTCTGGTAATGCAGAAACGCGTACTGCAGAACGTGACGTGATGTTCCGAAGAATAATCCAGTTGCGTTCACGCAGAAAGTCAAGTAAAGCAAAATAATTTTAATAGAACGGTTTCTGTGTCATTAACGTTTCGACCGGGTACCGGTTTTTGTGGTTTTCACGAAGAGAGACCAAATGATGGGTTAGTGATTAAAATAGACCAAAACTGATTTTTCCACTAGTAAAATCTGTATACATGAAGCAGATTTTTTTTCTGATAGTCGCTGAGCTGGTCAAGATATTCTCCGCCTTTCGTGAAACGGTCTATTGATCCCTATCGTATGCCAGTTGACTCCAGTCCGTATCCTGTTTGATATCCATATTTTATGTCAAGTTCCTTTAGAAGTTATCGTCCATACTGAATTATTTTACTCTGCAAGGTCATTTAGCTCCACGCCCCGTGCTCTAATCTGAAGGAACACCCCTTGTCGGCTGTCTGAGACTGCGTACTCAGTATTTTCCCTGCTACCTTCCGTATCTGGAGGTTAGCTGTTTTAGACTTCTGCAACCTGTCGTGGAGAAAAGGAATCCACTAAGAGTGTCGAAATAAAACAATAAATTAAAATTTTCAATATTTATTGTTTGTACCTACAATAAATGTGGGGCAGGAAGAGCTCAGTCAGGGACATGGGTTCGATTCCCGGCATTATCAGGGATTTTCATTTTTTGTCCCTAAACCATTTCGGATTTAGAACTCGTCCACTGCATTATCCAGTTGGTACGTCGACCGGGAAATTGTCGTGGTTTTCTTAAGTTTATGCAATTACTTAACAGTATGATCTAGCTGTCTCTCATTGGTCAGTAAACCTACATAACCTTTGTATTTTGTACTAACATTAAGACTAGCTCGACCAGGGGACGAACCAGTAGGGTCATGCCCTCTTAGCGGTCACCTGAAAAAGGAGGTATAAACAGCTTCCGAAACGTCGTGGTGTCTTTTAAAATACTTAGACGATGATTAAGTTCAGCTGAGTAATTATTTGTATTGTGTGACTCAGTGTCAAGAACTTCAAAATTTCTTATGAAATAGTGATTAAATTTTTCCGCATAATGCAGTTCTTCAGTTGAAGATAACTAGTGGCTATCGCATGCTGAACATGGCCACACCAACCCTTCTGTTCAAACACTGCTGCTTTGATTACTTCACAACCGGCCCTAATTTTTTTTTTTTGCAGAATTTTCTTGGCTTAATTAATGCTGTGTGGTCAGTTGGTCAGACTGTTGACTACAGCCCTTATTCAGAAGCTAATAGTCGCTCAGCTAGTTACGAAATTAATTTGTAATGGAATCTGATGAATCCAGTTTAAAATCTTCTACCCTATTTTCTTAAGATCCATTCCACGCCTAGACTTATACCACCCGACAGCATTTCCCGTGCCTGCTACATGTTTCGCCCATCTCATATTCCTTGGTTTTAACACTCTTTAATATATCACTAAGTCCAAATATTCCTTATCAATATTCTTATCACAGGGTAAGAACTTTGTTTCACGCCCATACAAAACAACAGATAAAATGAAAGCTCTGTGCATGAAATCTACTTTTTAGATAGAAAACAGGACTTGGTGGATGTTGAACTGACAGAAGCCATGCCTCGAATTTAATCTGATCTTAATTTCGACCTTGATGGTGGAGACAGCGTGTTCCGTAGATCGCATTAGAGAGAGACAAGCGCTTTCGTCGTGTTTTATATTTCAAATATTCTGTGGACTGCAAGGAAATTGGTTGAATTTAATCAGAAATATGACAGAAGGCGTTCATAGTCAGTAAAAGATGGATGTGTGTTCTTAGGGAATGTAGAGTCAGGATTAAAGAAACAATACTATAAATTATTTGATTTAATTTTATTATTTGAGAAAGGAAAAAAATTGTAATCGTAAACACGTGTAACGCAAATTCATTTATCAGAAACCTTTGTATAGTTAGCTAGCATGTATAAATGACATTGTAAGTATTTTATTACCCGAACACTAGTTATATTTACTATGAACATGAACTGTTCTTATGGCTAACAGTATTTGGCGATGAAGTTCGTATTCACCCAATAATTTATTTTCATATTTTAAACAATTTTCTACTTATATTTCCAGCGATAATAGACACAAATACAGTAATTTGCATTAAAGATTACTAAAAAAAAAATTAGACCATATTTTCATAATCTATTGAGACGTATGAACGTATGATCTCTGTTATCTGAGGAAAAATGCAGCTCGAGCGATCAAAACTAGAAATACTTATGGAATTTTGACGGGGAAAAACTCTAAAAAAATTGAGTTTGAGGAGATAATATTAAAATTATTTATTGATGTATTGTTTGTGAGGAAGGTGTTCAAGATCTTGTCGAATATCGGGTTTAGATATTAATTTTGGGTTCTGCTACCATGTTGACAGTCGAAGAGAAGTTTACAATAGCAGTTAGATGCCTTGATTTATAGTAATGATCTGAACGAGTCGGTAAATTTTATGGGCTTGCCTCCCTTCAGGAGAAAGATCTTTCTAGTTACGAAAATAAAGTCTTAAAGACCTTAAGTTCATTCCCCTGTTATTAAAACAAATGAAACCAATTCTGGTATTACATAAAATACAATCCGCTGCCCTCTGAAAAGTTCTTATTCGTGAATGACGTGCATCTCGACAATACTTTCCTTCAAAACCTGTGTCTGAAGCTAATCCCACCGCCAAAATTTGGTCGGGATGCACCCCAAGGACCACCGAAAGATCTTGACCATCCAGCATTAGCGTCGAGTGTTGAGCGTCCACTGCTGCCCCTCCAGAGATTACCCTGAACTTGGGCTGAAACTTTGGTGCCGGATGGTCTGTGGTGAGTGACGGCACTTACCCTGTTGGATCGAGAGTATGTCAGTCCTCCGCCGTAGGAGGGATGATTTGTCCCTCTTGGACCACCGAACGTTTGCGACCAGTGGACATTCCCGTCCAGTGAGTGGGGACCTCTCCTCCACAAGTTGCCCTGTGCCTGGGCGGACACACTGTCGCGAGACAAATCCACTGTGACCTGTCTCCGAACTCGGGATTTTGGCTCGTCCTGAAAAGAGGAACCAATGTTTCTAAGCTCTGTATTTAATGATGTTGTATCGTATAGTATAGTTCGGCAGCGTAGGATATGTTCACGGTGCCTTCAGACAAATTGGAGAATTCTTAAATCAATTATTAACCATTTAAAGCCTTGTGGTAACTGTATTTACCACATGGTTTAACAATAAAGAATTCTGAGTTTTACCACCGAACTGTGTTATACATGATTCTCGGAGAAAACAGATATTACTTCCTTAAACGACGTTAACCTGTTGATCTTTGTAATGGTGAAGTGCTGTGTTTTCTTTGCGGTACGGACTGAATTCTTAAATATTATTTAGGCGAGCTTCGGCTTCAAAGAGTCAACCAGTTGATATCAGCAATGGTAAAGTGTGGTGTTTTCTTTGCGGTACGGACTGAATTCTTAAATATTATTTAGGCGAGCTTCGGCTTCAAAGAGTCAACCAGTTGATCTTAGCAATGGTGAAGTGTGGTGTTTCCTTTGCGGTACGGACTGAATTATTGAATATTATTAAACAAGCTTCGATTTATGACGGTTAAATTTAATGTAAATTACTGATCTCGTTTAAGATCCGTGAAGTGAGTGGTTTTGAATTGATTCTCAATGTTAGCTGTTACAATTCAGCCAAAACATTTCACACGTTATAAAATGTCGGACTATTTATATGAAGTAATATAACAGATTGCGTTAAAATGAAATTCTGCGTCGTCGAAGTTTGCTTCTTCTCTCGCATCTTATGCTTAAGCCTACATCAAATCGTTTCGCTAGAGAACTGAGTTTTGTTAGTGACAGGATTTAGTATAATAGAGGAGGCCGGTGTTGCGATATTACTATTCTGAATGTACGTATATAAACTAAATATAAAAATGATGGCACAGAGTATGGCGTTTATGAGGAAATACAGTCTTCTTTGACCAATTCATGGAGTAGAACTTGATAAAAGGAAAGTGAGATGGACGGAGAATGTAGCACGAATGGGGAAAAATGTACATAATTTTAGTTTCTAAGCTTTAAGGGAAGATACCACTCGGGAGACCTAAAAGTAAATGCGAGGACAATATTAAAATGGATCTTAAGGACACTGGGAGGGACGGTGTGGACTGTATTCATCTGGATTAAGTTACTAACCGGTCGCAGGCGTTTGTTAGCTTGTTTCATAAAACGCGGGAAATTTCTTTGCATTCTGAGCCACTGAGAGACTGCTTCATGAAGTTAGTTTGTTAGTTAGGCCGGACATGGGTTACTAGATTTATGGAACGGTCATATTGGGCCTAAGTTATTTGTCTTACCGCAACGATTACCGGTGTAAGTAAATAATTATTGTCTTCCTCCGGTAATGAAATCTCAACGTCCTCCCCTTGCAGGGTTTTCTCTTTTATTGGCATCACAACGACGTCGTGTCCCCATGGTTCCAGCCCTTTGTGTTTCAGTACATAAGGGACATAAGCCCTTGCCGATGGAGCGAATCCCAGTGCAGCTATCAGAGACGCGATCACCAATGCCAATTTCATTTTCTCTGGTTCTGGAGCAAGTGACAGTATTCTTCTGGAAAATGCAATTATACCACAAAGTTTACGTTGATGTGTGACCTTAGAGGTAGAAATATCGCCTTGAAGATGGAGGCAGCAAGCACCTCCGAAACATCGGCAAACGTCTACAAGACTACGCAACCGAATGACACATAAGACAGTCATCTGTGTGGACCTTACTGAGTGTTCATTAGTCCGCTGCCCTGATAGTCTAGAATTACACGTATTACATTTGCAGTAACACAAATTTTGTCTAGTGTGATACCTGTTTTTCTTAAAAGTGATCTCTTTGTATTCGAAATCTTTGGCTTGTTGAAAGAATTGTACTTACCGAGTTAGAGGTTAAACAGCTGCAAAGCGTCTCGAGTGTCGAGCTTACAAATGCGTCTGTAAAACTTAGAGCAATTAAGAAGCAAATATGAAATTCGCTGTTAATATACCATCTGAGACTGAGAGGAAACTACATTTGACTTCCATTGAACGTTTCTGGTACTTCACCGCCTGTAACAAAAAAAGCTGTAAAGCTCTAATGTTTACAAGAAAATAATATATGATGTAATACATAGGATTTTCCTCTTTAGATTGTAATGAGGAAATGTATGAAGGAATCTGGAGTACGGTACTCCACCGATATAATTGATATCAAACTGGGGTTATCAAGTCACGCGAGGTCAAAGCTTGTTTATAGCATGTTGCAACTACGACTGAAAGAAAATAACATCAGAACATCTGAAGTTGTTCTTCGAATCTTTTGCTTTCTTTATTTCTACGTGCTCATTCAGAAATTAAATTTTGGGAGGTGTGTAGACTGGATTAGTCTAAATCGGGATTCGACATTTTGGCTGACTCTCGTCGATTCAGTAATCACACTTGGTCTACATAATAGACGGGAATTTTCTTAACTAGCTGAACGACTGTTAGCTTCTCAAGGGTTATTTATTTATGGTTTATTTAAAGACACTGTTAGTAGTTGAAAGTCATTAAATTAATGATAAAGATATTAATTAATAATAAGCGGGAAAATGATATGGCATGATTAAATTTATTATACCTGCATTTTTCTTTAGGAAAAGAGGAAAATCAGGAAAACCCTGTTAGGAAAGACGGTCTCCAGGCCGAGACTTGAATCCGGGATTAATAATTTCAGTAATAATTTGGAAGCGAATGTGTAAAGGATTATTCCATTCCTAGAGATAATCGGAATAAATAAAGATAAAATTATCAGAGAATCATTTATTTATTTGTATTTTTTTTTCAATAAAATCTTCTCGGGCATACAGCCGCGTTAGTTGGTTACCGTAGTAAACCGACGTTTCGGGAACAAACTATGTCTCTATCTTCAGGGTTCTGATGTGACGAGGATCCAGTCACATCAGAACCCTGAAGATGGGGACAGAGTTTACTACGGTATACTACGGTAACCAGCTAACGCGGATGATTGTCCGAGAAGATTTTATTGATTGTACTCGCCGCGAAAGTCTCAAAACCTATGTATTTCTTTTATTATACCGGACTGAAGGAATTGGTTAAAAACATTCACAATTTTCTTTTGTACCTAAAAATGAAAATGTATTGGTTACACACGTGTAAGCTTTAGAGAAATCAACGAAGTCTCTGTTTTAAAGCGGCAAGTTATAATTACCAAGGCGACCATATCGAAATTGATGATTTTCATTCTTAACGCTGAGCAGCAAAACTTCCACAAACTCACATTCGTATTTTAAAAAGAGAGTGGAATGTAAAAATGGACACCGTCATCAAGTGTCTCGACGTTTTGTCTTCGTAATTCTAAACGTTTCGTGCTGTTTTAATGAATCGATTTCCAACAAAAAATAATAGTTTATGCTTATAATCTCTTGACAAAACATAATTATGAATGGATAAATATATTTATTTCGAAATATAAATAGAATGAAACGTAGTTTCACTGCACGTACATTATCGTGCTCGTGTGCCTTCGCTGATTCTACAGGATTAGTACACATTGCTTTATTGTTCTTAGAGATAAGATAAGCTTTTGTAGCAGACAGTACCTGCAACAGTGTGCGAGTGTGTGTCTGGGTTTCCAGACAGTTTCGTCTACAGATTGTGGTCGCCAGTATCACAACATTCAAATTCGTCTAAAAATTGAATTTTAGATTAATACAACGGTGAAAATACATTGCATCAACTTTGTCCTGTCAGTTTTGTGTGTCGATAAACAGAAATTCCCCTGTATTCTACAGTTTATTTATTTATTTATTTTAGTTCAGTTTGTTAAATTTTCATATTGACCCAGGATATATAAACGTAATTAATTCAGTATTTTGGTCTTTATGCAAAGTACTCGTAGTTACTGAATGATTAAGCCTACTGACTTATAATAACAACTTCTATATAACATAATAATTTTACCGAAGTAACACTGTGATAGCAGAGCCCGATGTTTCAACACTGCTAATAATAACTCTCGACATTTAAAATAATACTGAGCCCAAAGTCCTTAAATCTATCTTAGTGTTATCCTTCCATCTTTTGTTTGGTCTCTCAAGTAGGAGTTTTACAATATGTAAACCTTTAACAGATTACTCAGCCCATAATACCCTAAGAAAATGTTACTGTCCTAACAATGAAAATCATGGTGAATTGTTGTGTAATATCTGTAATTTATCACGTGCATGTTTCTTCCTGAGTCCGTGTATTTTCCCTCCAAACGTTTATAATTTACGTTCTTCTTGCAAAGTAAGTTCCGAGTGGCAATGATGTAAAAGCACGTAGCATGTCCCAGTGCACGTCTGCTGTATTATATTGTGTTGTGAGTAATGTAGGTACCACAAAATGAGTTAAGCATATTACCTTGTCGCCTTCTTAGCTCAGTGGTAGAGCACTGGTCTTGTAAACCAGGGGTCGTGAGTTCAAACCTCACAGGAGGCAGTGAGAATTTTTGCTGGTGAGAAATTATAACAACGAGAAGACATGTTGAAGAGTTACCTTAAATTAAACATAAGAAACCGAACAGACATCCTGGTATCAGAATTAAATAATTGACTCGTCGTATTATTTTTTATTTGTTGAGAATACGCGTACTGAGAAATACGTTATTATTATTATTATTATTAGTGTTCTGTCTGACGACAGGTCCATATGAACAGGATCCTTCCATCCTTTTCTCGGACTGGGACCTGTTCATATACGTTCTTGGCAGATGATCCAGAAGTGGGTTGCCATTGCCTTCTTCTGTGTGTGAAGGGAGTAATTGTTGGGATGCCACGGACGAAAACTCCGTGTTGCCTAGACCACCTCATCTTATTATTATTTAGTGTTCTGTCTGACGACAGGTCCATATGAACAGGATCCTCGGACTGGGACCTGTTCATATACGTCCTTGGCAGATGATCTAAGAGAAATACGTATCGACCTAAAATTTTGCGCGATTTAGAGATCTAATTGCAAACTAAAATGGACGTGTGCTGTTAAATACGCAAGTGACAGTTCATCATTTTTTAGTCTTTTATTTCTTAAGGAAAAAGCGGACATAGGCGATCACCATGGTGATTGTGATCTTCGAGCTTTCAGATTTTTACAAATTTGTAGGTTTTCACGAGCTTTGATGTAAGAGTTACTCCTTTCCAACCTGTTACCTTTTCATTTTTCTACAATTAGGAATGCCAACATGGCTGGCGCACATTCGCTCAACTTAACATACGTATATAAAATTATGCATCTGGTAATAGTACTTTGAAAAGTTTGCAACTTTTATTAAGGTATTTTTTTTTTTTAAGTGTTGATCTGCACTCACGGTCGTTGACTCGTAGACTAGGAATTATGGCTGGAACTTCACAGGAATTAAAATAACGTCTCGTGTACACGGTATGAAAATCCTGTAAGGACGAAGACTTTAATAGACATCCTCAGATACTATCGATCCCTTGTCAAGACCGTCTCAGAACACTAAAGACACTGTGAACCACAGGACATGGTATAGAGAACATTCTTTAGCATGTCTGAGTGAAGTATAAATAATTAAACGAACAGAGACTGTAAAATATTGTACACAGCTTCAATACTTATCGAAGTGTTGATACTCAGCAGCTGAGAACAGGTTTTATAAAATAAGGGGTCTTAAGTTCAAATCTCGTATGAGGTAACATTTCGTATACGTGAACTGTGAATAAAAGAAGGTACTAAAGTCATATTAAAAGTATCGTTAATTTAGAAAAGCTACCTTATTTTCATGTATTTTAGTCGTTGCGTACACATTATAATGGCATGCCAAAATGGTTTGCAGAAATATTTTGAATATAAAATTTGGTGACGCGATATATTATATGTATTTTAACGTGAAGTTATAGTTTGTAGGTAGTCTATTAACACGTAACTTCACAGCGAAAACCTATAAGCTGGTGGCTTCTATAGTTCGCGACTGTAATCCAGATGATCTTTGTAATGGTGAGGTATGGTGTTTTCTTTGCGGTACGGACTGAATTCTTAAATATTATTTAGGTAAGTTTCGGCTTCATTGATCTCATTAAATCAATGTGTACCTTCCTTCGTGTCATTAACGCGAAACGCGCGAGGCTTTTAGAATTTTGGGTCACCAAGATGACGTCAGTAATGGTAGTCACGTGCTATGATTTACGCAACACAAGTAAACGAATAGGCATCAGAGGATTGGGGGGGGGGGATTGTAAAAAGACACAAACCTATCCTCACAAGAGTTGAACAGGTTCGAAGAAGGGGGTATCATGAAATACAGGCCTCGTCTTATTTTACCTGTTGTTGATTGCACTTTTGTCAACTTCTCCGGCTGGCGGTAGGAAGACCTCGTTATCTGCGACTTGTGTGCAGAAGTGTGGCGAAATTACGACATGGCTATAAACTTTATTCAGATCTCGGCTCAGAAGATAATGGTAGACCTTTGTGCCAACGAAAGTCGGGCTCTATTTATGAGGGATTACAACATGTGGACAGAAGACAAG